TGTAAATGTTGAATAACAAATATACTGCTTTGATTATTTTTATAGTGGACTGATCATTTGTTTCGTCTACAGAAGGACAGAAAATAATGGAAACCATTCATGAAATTTCCTAGAGCCCAAGTGATAGCTTCAAATGGCTCATTTTGTTCAACCAGTGGTCCAAAATCCTAAAAATGTTCCCATGACTCCACAAACAACCATTAGCAGACCCTCCGTTGAGAGCCATTTGACGTCAGACATATGCGGACTGGTGTTGCTTCCTGCTTCTCAGCAGGCTTTAGACAAGCCCAGCATGCCATTCTTCTCAGTGTGTCAGATACCCAAGGAGGCTTGATCACAGCTGATCTGTGCATGTCAGACTGTGTGTGTGTGTGTATGAAAAGAGCATGGAGTGTACATTCTGTGCATTATTCTGTCTTCACTGGAACACAGTCCTTTTAATCAACACCATCCACAAATGCTCTGTGCAGTTACTCTGCATGAGCACACGGACATGCATATCACATCGCACAGGCATGGTGTAGATGAATATACCAGTGACACATGTACCACCGCTCCACCAACATAACCACCACTGCACCAGATACAATACCAGTTCTACTCAAAGACAAGGCTCTTTGCTTTCTTTTCTCTGACACCAAAAACACACAGCCCTTCTTCCACTGCATAACACATACAACTGAACAAAACCATTATGTACACATTAGGCTCTCGGGTTGCTTATGTGTGCAGAACGTGACTCTGGGGACTATTTCCACAAAGTGAAAGTAACAAGAAATATCAATACCAACAGCAAGTGCAGGCAATAATGCAAGTGCCATTGCTCTCCACTTATGTTATGGAAATCAATGAAAACACTACCATGCCGTAAAGTCCACTACTCACAGTACGCTGTGTACAGATGACATTCCTGAAAGTGAAATACACTGAAGCAAACCATTCTCCGCAGCCTTAAATATCATTAAGATGTCTTGAGATCACCGTGCATGAAAAGTGACATAAGAACAATAGAGAAAAGAGTTAATCCATTAACAGTTAAATAAAACCTCCAGATTAAGGATGAATGGATGTTATCTTATTTAAATTCATACTAAGGGTCCTAGAGACTCATTTTACAGAGCTATGAAAGGGCTGCTGGGTTTATAGCTAGGTATATAATTGTTAAACAATATAATTAAATATATAACAGAACCATGGGTTCTTGGCAAAAGTCAAACCAAGAACCTCTGACATCAGATATACAACAAAAACAGGTTGGAGTACATCTCAAAATGCTAACATGGTTTACAAATATGTTAAGAATAATTCAAATTGTGTATATTTCATAGTGAAATGGGAATGAGAATTAAATATAAACACATCAGAGGAAGACTGGCGTGTTATATGTGTCATACACAAATCAACCTACAAACTCCAGGGAATGAAAGGAACTATGTGCGAGTCATTCTGGGCTTTGACGACAACAAGATAACAGAGGAAAGAAGGAACAGAAGAACAATGTTGAACAGTGGATAGTGCTGGGTATCCAACTCTGATACTTTTATGGCATTGACTGAATTACTGCAGTACCGTCACTTTTAGTTATTGATGTTAATGTTAACAGAACTTAAGGTTGTGCTAAACAGGTTTACTTTTTATCTTATGAATCTGCTTTGAGCGCACAATAAAGATAATGATCTAAACCACACACATACACAGTCAAGGACAAAAATGATGACACCCCTGCATTTCAGATAACACACCACTTCTCACAGAAAACTGTTGCAATCACACATTTTTTGGTATTCTCATGTTTATTTCTTTTGTTTGCAATGCAAGACCCAAATCTGACACATTCCACACAGAACTCCAAAAATGGACTGGGCAGAATTATTTCAAAATCATCAAACAGTTGTATTTCCAGCATGTGATGCTCCTTTAATTAGTAATGAAACTTATCTGTAGCATTCAACAGGTGCTTATAATATAGAAATCACACTTGCAACCAGTTAAAAATGGAGAAAGATTGACTCAACCTTTGTGTCATGTTGACCACACTGAGAATGGAGAAAAGAAAGACGAGCAAAGAATTGTCTGAGAATTTGAGAACCACAATAGTGGAAAATCTTGGACAATCTCCAGGCTACCTATCCAGAGATCTGGCTCTTCTTGTGTCCACTGTGCACAACATTGTCAAGAAGCTTGCAGCCCATGGCGCTGTAGCTAATCTCTGGACGAAAGATTGCAATGAAGGATTGTTTGAATGTTGGATAAAGAACATCGATCAATACAAATTCAAGATGACCTGCAGGTACAGGGTGCAACAGTGTCAGCTCGCACTATTCTTCGCCATCTGAATGAAGGGACACTATGGTAGGAGACCCAAGGGGCCCCACTGCTGGCACGGAGACATAAAAAAAGCCAGACGGGTGTTTGCCAAAACTTACCAGAGGAAGCCACAGTCCTTCTGGGACAGTTGAGACAAAAATAGAGCTTTTTGATTGAGCACATCTTTATACTATTTTCAGCAAACAAAATGAGGCCTTTAAAGAAAAGAACACGGTCCCTACAGTCAAACATGGTGGAGGTTCGCTGAGGTTTGCTCTGCTGCTTCAAGCACTGGATGTCTTCACTGTGGCATTATGAAATCTGACTATCGATGAGTTCTGGGGCACAATGTAGGGCTCACTGTTAGAAAGCTGGGTCTCTGTCAGAGGTCATGGTCTTACAGCAGGACAATGGCTCAAAGCAGACTTCAAAAAACACCCAGAAATGGTTTCAGACAATGAGCTGGAAAGTTCTGAAGTGGCCAGCAATGAGTCTAGATCTAAATCTAGACATAGAGCACCTGTGGAGAAATCTCAAAACAGCAGCTGGGAGAAGGAACCCTTTAAATCTGAGAGATCTGGAGCAGCTGGCAAAAGAAGAGTTGTCTAAAATTCCAGTAGAGAGGTGGTTACAGGAAGTGTTCAGTTCAGTTATTTTGTCTAAAGGGTGGGCTACCAGATATTAAGGAGAGAGTGTCAATAATTCTGCCCAGTCCATTTTTGGAGTTCTGTGTGGAACATTTCAGATTTGGCTTTTTTCTCTGCATTTTTGTGTTGTTCCAATGCAAACAAACAAACAAACAAAAAAAAAAACGTGGTGTGTTTTCTGACAGGAATGCAGGGGTGAAAATACTTTAGGCCATGATGCTTTTCTGTATTTATAAGCATCGCTAGGGTTTATTTCTGATACCAGTGCTAAAACAATACTTTTTAAATGGCGCCGGTGCCTAAACGGTACCAAAACAGATTCTTTAAAAAAAAAAAAAAAGGTGATAAATTGAAGGCTGATGATATTACAAACATTCCAATTCATTCCCAGCTGAGATAAATGTAACACAGCATACAGTATAATGACAGCGTTAGCACATTGTGTGTTGTTGCTTGTATCGTCCCTTTCACAGCACCAGAGTGCAAATATTTCAATCAACAGGCATCTAAGTGGCACCAAAATGAGTCGCAATTTTGACTAGTCATATTGCTCTCATCTGTTTGCTCACAGATCTTTATCCTGATATTCTCCCTTGCAATACAGAGGAGGAAGAATCATCTGTTGTGGCTCATCCATCACCTCAGTGCTTCTGCTGTTACATGCAGCATCAGGCAGTGTCATTTGGGCTAATGATCTGTTCCACCTCCATGCTAAAAAATCCTCCTTAACTGGACTAAATACAGTGGTAGGAATGTTCTCAACATCCTTGGTTGATGTGGGACACTCCCCATAAGTGAAGTTCATGTTTCCCCTGACAACCAATCTATCAATTTACTGTAGCAAACTTAGTGATGGTAGGCTGAACACCGACGCTTCGAAGCACTTCAAATACTCAGGGCAGAGGAAAGTGAACCTTTCTGTTTTGACTTGTATATGGAAAGCCCTTTTAGCATTAAATAGGTGGACAGGGTTTACATTTAAGATTAAGATATCGGCAATGTATTTATGACTAGTCAAAACTATAAGATATCTGCAATTAAATTTTGACAACATAAAATTCAAATTAAAGATATAGTATCTGCTATTACATTTTGACTAGTAAGAATTCCTCACTGACGTGAATGGGAAAACTACTTTAAAGTTTCTACAACTGAATTCTGCTGACCTGAAATGTGAACTTCAGATATCTGTACTAGTTAAAATTCAAATTTAATTTATTGGGATTTTGACTCGTCATAATTCCAGTTAGATATATTTCATTTGGCACATTTCAAAGATTATTATATTTTTGTATATCACAAATTAAGATTCACTAGGTGAAATTCATTTGCAGATATCTTAAATCTGAGTTTTGACTAGTCATAATTACTTTTAAGATATCTAACATGATATTATGGATATCCTTTAAAGGTATTTATGGACATAACAAAGAGAGTGACTATCCGTAACTGCAATTCAGATATCTATATCTGCATTTTGACTAGTCAAATTTGCAATGCCTCTGGTCAAAACTATAATTTTAGATCTCTACAATTACATTCGACTAGCAAGAATGACAGTTCAAGATATCTACAGGTCCGCTGTGGATATCCACATTCACCTTGGTCATGTGATTTTGGATGTCCGAAATGACATCACATTTTAATAATTAGCAGATAAACAGAATTCATATTACAGATAACTACAATGTATTGACAACTAGTTAATACTATAAGATACCTGCAATTCAATTCTTGAATTACAGGTATCTGCTATTACATTTTGACAAGTAAGAATTCCTCACTGACTAAAATGTGAAAACTAATAAGATCTACAATTCAATCCAGCCTATCTGAAATGTGAATTCCAGATATGTATATTTACCTTCCGACTAGTCAAAACTCAAATTAAAGATATCTTTAATGGGATTTTGACTAGTCAGAACTCCCTTTAGGATATCCAAAATGACATCACAGACAACAATGTGGTGTTTTAGCTTCTTTTTTTAAATATATTTATAATGTAATTATGAATAGTCAGAACTGAAATCCAAAAAGATAATTTGGATATCTTTTAAAAGTGCAGAATTAAAGATATCTGTAATAGCAATTATGACATATGTGGTTTCGGGGCACATATCGATAAATGAACCATGTTTTGCTTCAAATGGCGGGAAAGCATTGGATGCTTAAATGGGGCTCCATCTTTCTATCAGTACCAGGGGTCTTCAACCAGTGGTTTGTGGCCCCTGGTGGCCCGGGAAGACATTGAAAGTCGGTCCTTGACCATGCATTCAATAATGTTGTTTCACTGTAGAAATCTTTTTTTTAATGTATTTTCATGCATTACTTAGTTTCTGAATACTCAAATTCATGCCAATATATAAAAAAGACAAGGTGACTTTCACAATTAAAAAACAGCGACTATCCAGTATATCCACACCACAAAGTGGTCCTCGGGTTACTTTTTAGTCAGAATGGTGGTCCATGGCTCACAATTAGTTGAACACTCCTATTTTATACAGTTGCTTTGCATAGTATTCACACCGCTTTACGTTTTGCACGTTTTACTCCACTGTAAATTTATTTAGAAATGGGAAAAAAAACACAATCTACAATACAGTAAAATGTGCAAAACATGAATGAGTGTGAATACTTTCTGTATCTATGATATATGCAGATGATATTTGATATGCTGTCAATATAAGACTGAATAGGACTCGTGGGAATCCTCAGTGTCCTCATGACACATCATCCGGGCCAGTGTTTGTTTAAACTTGATTAAATAAAGGCGTCAACAAAATGCTACTCAGCTGTGTGATACATACATGTCCAGAAAGAATGCATGCTAATGTTGTGTCCTACCTGGAGGGCAGAGCGCTCCACAGCCCATGTCTGTCTGTCTCTGTCCCCCAGTCTCAAGCATCTTCTCCTGGCTAGCAGGACCAGCTTTTGCAGCTCATCGTCCACAGGTCTCTAACATAAATCCTGACCCTGATATAAATCTGGCTCAATTTCCACAGAGGATATAGAATTCTATATTACCTCTCCTGTTTACTGTGCTGCGTTTTCTTTTGGCACACTGCACACAGTCTGCGTCTGTCTGTAAGCAGTACACGGTGCTCGCTATTGCTCTCAAGCTCCCTGACCTTTTCGTCTCTTTCACACCGTCTCTCCATCACCGTCTCTCCATCACCATCCTATAGCACTCCTTCTCATCCTGCAGGCATTATTCCTGTTCAAGCCGGTGGCCCCTCTTTCCTCGGCACATGCAGCAACCACCATAAACATCACAAGGACTTAAATTTAATCAGTTATCAACACAAGAATGACCAACCCATATTTTTCATCAAATCACGAAACACACTGCAGACAACCTAAGGACTTAAATTTAATCAGTTATCAACACAAGAATGACCAACCCATATTTTTCATCAAATCATGAAACACACTGCAGACAACCTACACATTGCATTCAGTGTGTGTGTGTGAGAAGTGAACATGAGCCAGCGTGAATATAATGTGATTGCATGCATGTCCTGTGGATGAAAAAACAACATAAAATGGGGCTCAGCTGTGCAACTGCATCCTGAATAGCACAAAGTAATCACTTAATTGAAGGATACCTTTCTCATTCCATGGCCTGGCCATCAACAATGAATGTCAGGCTCACTGGAGCCTGCTGTATTCTCCAAGTCGCATGGCTATAAACTGAAAAAGAAGCTTTTAGACCATGCTTACTTAGAAAACATTCTTGGTAGTTAAAGTCCAACATAGCAAGGTTTCTACAGTACTATGCTGAAAGATGAAGTGCACTGCAGTGAATCCTTAGGTCCTCCAGAGCTACTGTTCTGTATCTGACCATGACCTCTGACCTGTGACCATGCTCTGGGAATCAACCTAAAAGCCTTTCCCCAGGAGGGATATCATTAGCTATTTCGGTTCCCCCTCACCCAGCCTCCCTCCCGCTCCACTCAGGGCCTGTTTACTCTTGCCTCATTCCTCACATATTACCGTAGTAGCGGATTCAATACCTTACATGGAGACGGACACAGCCCGTGGCCATGAAAACACACACAAGGTCAACCTTGTGCTTTCTTTTCTTTCAATGTATATTCAAAGCTGAATTCTAATTTAAACGTGTCAACTCAATGAACTGAGGGTGCGTAATAATGTTGGGTTTTGATTATAATGTGAAATATTACCAAATATATTTTCACTTGTCACAGTTGACTTTTGAAACCAGCGCAGTAAAACTACTCAACAACCGCTCTAGTGGTTTGTTGCTCGTTGTTTTGCTAGCTGTTTACCTTCTTTAGCCTTTTTCCTTCTTGCCAAAGTTCCACCAAGTTTGCCCAGAAAAGAGTCGTCTTTCTTTCTGGAAGACGGCGATTTGGGCGTCGGAGACTTCGGAGAGGACGGGGACTTCTGAGGCGAAGAAGCCATGGTCGTAACGAAAATGTAATCCGGGACACTTCACATAAAAACTGCCTGACTTGACGTGGAAATGAAAGTTGGTGGGATGTCAAGTAAAGAAGAAGAAAAAAAAAGGAAAATCACCGTCCACTCCCTAAAACGGAAACGGAATTCCAGGCATGATTTTGTCCCGAGGCTGGCTGGTGGGAGGCCCCTCCTCTGCGGAGGAGGGCCGGGACAGCAGGCAGGACGATGACCGCGGAACATCAGGAAAGGACGAAGCACTTTTTCCTTTGGGGGACAATGTTTTTCTTTTCAGTTTGCCAGCTTCTCAAAGTTTGGCAAAATGTGAGACTTTTTGCACCAGTCAAGTACTTCAATTAGCCTAAATATATAAAATGCTAAAGAATTCAGCTCTTACTTATTAAATAAGTTTCATAATAGGGTGCTCATGTTGAGTTATCCCGACCCTCTCTCATTAAAAAAAGACGTATGGATGTTAATACTCAATTTTAAATTCAATTTTATTAGTTTTTTTTATTTATAAGGCTTGAAGAAGCACATAACCAAAATGTACAGAAATCTCAGTTTAGAGTTTTTCATGAAAACACATTTTGTGATATACACATTTATTAAATTTGTGCTTATTAGTTTAAACCATAATCAAAACATAGCATTTACAGCCAAGGGGCCACATGATAAATGTGGATCTTTGTGTGAGGATTAAAACCCATGTAAACACATTATTCATGTCATGTAGGAAGTACCTGTAACTTCCACTCACAGCCTATAGAGTAGGTTAAAACCAGCAAAATGGAACAATCACAGTCTGGCAGTCAGAGAAAATCCATTCTGAATTAGGAGCATAGAAGAAGAATACATGCTACCAGGTAAGTACAAATATCTGGCAGCTAGAATGATATTTCTCCAGCTTCCTTGCCATCTGTGTGTAAATACACATTTTTTAAGCTAATTTTATTTCACATTGTTCCAGCACAAAGTTTAAAAAATCAACATTAAATATACACTTACACAGATAGCTACAATGACATCTAGATTTATGACATTTAAATTAATTCACTGTGCAAAACACAAACATGAGGGAAAGTGATGAGTTGTTCCAAGCGCTGTCCAGTGATGCTGTACAGTGTTACAGTAATAAGACATCAGTCACAGTTCCAATGTCATGGATGCAAGCCCTTTAAACAGTAGTTGACTAATCAGTTTGGTTCATGAGGTGTGTATACATTTTACAAGGCAGTCATTCACATTATTATAGATGGTTAAGCATATTGTACATCCAGTTTCGGGTCAGTGTCAGCCTGAGTCATGACAGATTACACTTGTGACCATAGAGGTCAAAAAACCTTAATGGCAGAGAAGTTATTAGCCCTCATGGCCGTACAGGAAGTAATCAGCTCAGGCTCCATTCCTCCTCAGCCTCTGTGCTCAGCATACCCACACAAAGTGAGACTAGATGAAGCCTGGCTGCTGTCTTTAGACTGAATAAACACCTAGACTTTCATGACATTTCTTTTGTAACATTTTCTAGATTGGTAGCTTTACAAGTGCAAGTCAGACACAAACTATTATGGTAAAATTTCACGCAGTTTTTTTTTTTTTAAGATAGTGTTGTGTGGTCTTACAGTACTATCCATCCTGCTCGTCACTGCTGAGGTGCTCAACATTCAACTCACACTACAGCTTCTCCAGCCCCCAGCTGTCATCCTCCTGGGCCCAGTGGAATTCATAGCCCTTAGACAGCACTAGGCTCTCTAGGTCCCTGTCCTCGGCCCTCTCCTTCAGCCGCTGCTCCTCCAGCAGAGAGACTAACATGTCTCGTTTCTCCACCATCCTCACCATCGCCGACAAGATCTCGTGCTCCTTCTGGAGCTCAGAAGCACTCTTCTTTGTATCTGGATTAAGCCACAAATAATTGTAAGTACTATAATGTCTAACTAACCGTTTGTGTTTTTGTCTGTGCACGGCCTACCCTCTATTGCCATTCTGCGTCGTAGCTCTTGTTGCAGTCGGCTCTGGGTATCCTCCAGTTCAAGCTCCTGGGCACTAAGACAGAGAGGAAGACTGGGTCACATATACAAAGGAACACGAGGAATTGCAACATTCTATATTTTCTTTGTCTTTCATTTGTGTGTGTGATCAGATGCCATCACATACAAGATCAGGAGTTCAGACTCATAGCGCGCCAATCTGTTCTTCTCCAGAACAAGTTTAAACCAGGACTGATAGAGCTGGGACTCATCACTGTCATCTGTCTGAGATGATTCTGGGAAGGAAGGAGAGGGAATGAATAAGGAAGGAAGGAAGGATCAAGGGAGATAGATAAGGGTGCAGGCAGCATTGTTGAGAGGGGACGGAAGAAGGCAGGATGGAGAGAACAAGTATTTCAACAACAAAATTCTGTAGTTTTATATTAATTGCGTAAAGAAAAACATCATACTGAAATAAAACCTCAAACACATACACGAGGCATCTGCTTTGCTTCAATGTGACAAAACCTCACTTGAATCAAATGAATCTAGTGTGAAAGCAGGCCTAAAGGACAGGTGCTGGTAATGACAATCTGAATCAAACATGAGAAAGGTGACTGCACACTGAAAGGTGTCATGGAGATATATATATATATATATATGTATATATA